ACCACCAACAATACCTTCCGAGATTGTCGCGTGAATTTTTTCCGACAACCTTTTTCGAAATAGCTGTATTCATTCTGCGACCGTTTTAACTGAATCAGCCGGGCGCCACCGTGAGGATAGGGTTTAATATGACAGCCCATGGTGTAATACACGACAATTAGCTACAAAGTAGTCACTTGGACACCGCCACTCTTATTCACGAGCACTAGCACAATATTTTCAGTTACAGAATTAACAATTAATATTTTCGAAATAGCTCGCAAACAACTTCAGAAATACCGTGCGACACCACAGACCACACCTGCAAAGTCCTTTAGGCCCCACACTTCCTAGATCCCTAGCTAACTATAGGTTACCCTACAAACTTTAGGGTGGTATTAACAGAGCATTGTGTTTATCGCCAATTAACAACATTTCAGTAAAAATGAGGAATGGCATGCAGAAAGAGGCATAGTTATTGTTTACGGTCCGTCTCCTGTCAAATCCCAAAAGTTTTTGCCGGCTGTTAATCACACTAAATTAAGGATCCCTATGTTCACTCCTGAGCTGATGGAGAAAAGCACGCGAAATCTTGTATGAAAGACGAAAGTTTGTCAATTAGGTCTCCTTTTCTTTCCCTGGATTTGAATGGTATTTCAAAGTGACACAAGATTTTTTTAGCATTACCACGTTGAAATGACTACGTTGCTCTTCCTTTGACATAACACATAGGTTGAAAGCTTCTGGTTGAGGGTGTTGTGGTCTCAATTCTTCAGCGATTTCTGCAACAAGGTTTTGCCTTTCGAACTCCTCGTCTTCTTGCAACAGAAAACATCGCAAGATAAAATGTTAAATAGAGAAATTAGAATATCTCTGTACGTTAAGAAAATTTTTTGCGTGAAGAAGAAAAAAGAATGATACTTAAGTGATGGAACAAAACTTTGACTTATTTCGCTGGCTATCTGGAAATTTACGACATGTCTTCCTGCCACAGAAGTTCTTTTGCCAGTATGATCCAGAGTGTGACCGGGGTATTGACAAGACCTTAGGGCTCGATTTCCGCCGTCTCCCCGTCCGTTGGGTTTCATTTTCCAGAACACCGGCTGACAATCGAGCCTAACAAGACTTGGCGCCCGCAAAACCTGCGAAGCAGGTGTCTGTGCCTTGGGCAGATTGTCATTTTTAGTGTTAGCCTGTGTACACACTACCACCCTCCTCGTAGAAGAAGCCCTTCTCCGATTTTTCCTGAGGGGAAGGGGAGTCCGTGTACACAGGCTATTTAGTGTCTGTGCCTTGGGCAGATTGTCATTTTAGTGTTAGCCTATGTACATACTACCTCCCCCCTCCTCGTAGAAGGGGCCCCTTCTCTGATTTTTCCTGAGGGGAGGGGTGTCTGTACACAGGCTATTTAGTGTCTGTGCCGTGGGCAGATTGTCATTTCAGTTCCGAATACCCACCAAGCCTCGAATACTTACTCTCGCTAAAATGAGTTCATTTTCATTGCCTTTGCTACACTTGCTACACTTAGACAAGTGACAGCTGGCTAAGTGCGACGTAATATCATCCATGCACTCTGTGACCAACACTTTTTCCTCCACACCCCTACTGGGACCTCAGTCTGTCAACGATCTCGCGGAAGAACTGCTTGATGAAATAGCCGAAAAAGCCATTTTTCACAATTGATCTCTTCGGCGATTTCATTGACATAATAATATCTGAAATTGGCACCTGCTGCATTATAATTCAATCAGATTGAAACCAAAACAAGATTATCGTTGGAATTCGGATGTTATACCCTAACAAAAACTAAAAAGATACTCCCTTTTGCGTTTATTCACTGAAAAAAGGAACTATTTTTACCTTTCCATTCTGCTACCGATAAACGTTTTAAAGATCTTTGAATGAAACTGAAATTTACTGCTAATTTAAGATAGAAAAAGTGTAGGGCATTTTTTTTTTTTTTTATCATAGTGCCATGTACAAAGATCTGCCTTCTCCTGATAAGCAAATATCATAATAAAGCTTTCGACGTTAACGCTATTTTTTAAGGCACGCAAAAAAGAGTGCCCAAAAATTTTCGTGTGCTGACAAGACGACTTACCTTGCAAGTGAACTCTTTTTTTTATTATTATCAATAACTATCATTTTAAAAAAGATGATAATATTGTAGAATTGATCGACACAACGCTATTGTTCGCTAATCGACCACCCCTCCTTAAGAATGCGTGACAGGCGACAATAATTGAATTATTTTAAGCCACGCAAACATATATCATGATATATTATTCAGCTGCTTCTTCCTCGTTAAAAAAAGAAAAAAAAAACAGACCTTAAGAGGATTTTAAGTCATGATTTGTGTTTTTCTGTGGAAAGGAGAGTTATTTTCCCCTTAGAAATGTGAAATGTAAGGATTATATTTCCTGTCAATTTGTTGAAACAACGAACTAAGGCTAATTTGCATACGAAGAAGGAAGTCACGTTCATCGTCGACAAGAAAAAGACCCAAGGAAAAGCGATTACTAAGTTTTCTCCACATGTTTGCAAACGTCCAACATTTAAAGGGTCTAATGACATTTAGTGATAACTAGAAACGTTAAAGCTGTGGAAATTAGTCGATCAAATGCGGACCCGTTACAATTCCGGCTTTGCTGTCAAAATGACGAATTTTGTAACATTAACGGAACTTTGCACGGCACGCAAAGAAGAGTGCCCACAAATTTTATTGCGTTAAGAAGTAGACTGGTCTTAGTACTTCTGATTTATCGTAGACTTGAGTCTGGGTCAGGTGCCACTTTTGCGAAATTACCGTTCAGCTCTAGTTATGCAAATTACTTTTCCTGCTGAGCAAATTATAGGTCATTTTAAAAGAATCATATCTCAGCCAACTTTCCACAGAATGCAACCACTGAACCTTGAAACTATTAACAAGAGTTAAAACTTTTGTGTGTAAAATAATCAGTTTATTCTGCTAGGTAAGGTAGGTTTGACCAAAATCGCACCACTTCCGACGGCAAACTGGCTGGTTTTTAGGTGACCGAGAAAATCTTCCTCTAAAATAGAGAAAAACTTGAGTTGGTCCAAATAAATGTGATATTTCTTCATGTGATAGGATAGTTATCTTCCACTGAAAAAATCAGGGCAATCCGTGATGGACCGAAATTTGCCTTATCCGTTCTTACGCGGACAGCCTCTTAAGCATTTTCGCGTTATTTCCCCCTTATTTCTCCCGCTTCTCACCCTACTGGAGAACCTGCCTCCCACCCTTTCCTCTCCCGCTTTCCGTACCCCGCCTGTCCCTTATTCTCCGGGCTTCGCACCCCACTTGTCCTCCTCAATTTCTATCTCCGAGTTCTTATTAGCCTGCGTGGAAGGCGTTTGAAAGGGAAGGGAAAGCACGCAGGCTAAGTTCTCATTTCAGAACGCTATGGAGCTAAGCTGAGCTAGAAGCTTTGGCTTGGACCCGTTTGTTTTAATAACTAGTACGTTTTGCTGCGGCAACAAAATATGACGTTATACGTAGCATGAGAGTAGTCAAAGCGAGGTGTTTTCACTCTTTGATGTTGCTGAATCTTGTAGATCTACACAAACCAAGCCTCCAACAAAATATACGACGACAAAGTGGGTTTGAAAGATGAAGGAAACGCCAAAAATCAGGTAGGGGTAAACTAAACGCTATGATTGAGTTGTCTTTAAATTGCTGTCAAATCAAATGTCAAATCACATAATTTGATACCAATAAGGAACATGTCCAGGGGGACAATAAAACGATTTTTGTATGCGATAAACATGGCTTTGCCTATTGATTGGTTTTGACAGATCATGACCCGAGCCGGGCATATCCGTTCTTTTCTCGTCGGTGCCGTTTAAAGACCGTTTCCGCGTGCTCGCCACCCGCCACAGCACCCTACAGCCCGTAGTATAAAAGTATTAAAGTTACCGCATATGATATGACAGTTTAAAATGCAGCATTGGCCAGGCTACGACATCAAACGTCAGTTGGCTTTCTGACAACTCAGCTGTGTAAACCAAGAGAGAATTATATGGGACAGAAAGGGCATCTTAGGACGTTGGCCGGGATATGTAAATTTCACTAAAGTTATTTTTAGAGTTTGTAATTTGAGGGAAGTCTAGTTCCTGGGCGTCCGCATATTTTAATCGATTGTTTGAAACGACATGAAGTCCCCCTCCGTCTGCCTCAAAGCAAAAATGCAGAATATTGTAATGGTGACTGTTGGATTCACTTTTAATAACACTAATTTTTAAAAACTGAATCATTGGACAATGCAATTCTAGAGCTCTGATTGGCTTAGCGATCATGGTATATGAGCTATTGTACCACGCTCTTCAAATACTGTACGCGTCTGCTCAAGATTAAAAACGAGCTGAAAATCGGTTGTTTTTACAAATAAAGTCGGGAAGAATTCTCGATATTTTGTGGGCGTTTTTAATAAAACAATTGTTCCACTCGCGCTTGTTGGATATGAGATGATTATAGCCAACACGGTGCTAGGCGCCTCGTCGGCTATCTACCAGCTCATATCTGACGCGCACTTGTGGAATAATTGTTAATTATATCTTTCTTTAATCAGAAAAGATTGCCCGAAATCCTTGTGCCATATAGTTGGATAGACCTCGCCGTGAAAGCTGGGCTGTGATCCCTTAACTGGAAAAAGTGACCTTGGATGGCCTGGATTCAAAGAGTCTTTCCAAGTAGTCCCCAGATACGTAATCTGGTTTTCATATAATTATACACTGTAATCTATGTTTTTTCTCTCTAAGGTGCAAGATAAAGAAGAGGAGAAACAAGTGAGTACGGAAGTCTCTCCGTTATTACAAGATGACAAAATGTAAAAAAGAAAGGCACGACCATTTTATAAACTGACTAAAATTTGGTGACCCTTTCCTTGAAAGAGCTAAAAAAACTTCTCTTATTGTCTAATTCAACCCTATCGGCTCTACCTCTGCAGGATGAGGAATTCAAAACCATTGACGAAGACCAGCCAACAGCCCCTTCCGCGCCAATGGAGAATCAAATGACGAAGGGAACGGTAATAATTAATTATTTTTTCGTTATATAGCTTTTTCTTTCGAGGGCTACACCTCTTTTACTGTCACTTAAATTTTTTTTATGATCCCCTTGAGGTATTCGAGAAAGTCGCAGACAAATAATCGGCTGCTGAGTAAGCCTCAGTTTCATAGAATCGTTTAAGCCGCGCTCAGTTAACAGCGTGTTATACTACAGAGGCTATAATCGAAGCAACCTTTTTACTAGCACCCTGAAAAACTATCTTAAAAGTCGGGATCATTTATGGAACGGGTACAGTTTCCAGCGATGTAAATTATTTTTGATTATCACAGCAGGACAGTTTCAAATCCCCTTGCCTCAAATCCTTGGGAAAGGTGGTGGCATAATTAATGTAAGAGGATGATGCATGTCAGGTCGATGATATTTTTTCCGCTACATCAATGTCGGTAAAAAAAAGGTTACAATGCTGTAAAAACAACTTTGTTTTTAGCCTGAGTAAACAGCTGACATTTCACGACGCCATCACTGGTTTCCCCTCGAAATAACGTCTCAGAAACGAACGCAGAAATTCCATACCAATGATGCGTCACTACCCAGATCTGGGTAATACTTCTGATTGGTTGAAGCAAATTTTCAGCCAATCAGACGCACTACCAGATCTGGGCAGTGATACGTCATCAGTACGGAATTTTTGCGCTCATTTCTCGGATGTCATTTCGACGGCATCGCCTAATGTCAACTGTTTTCACAGGCTACTCTGTTTTCGGGTTTTGATTTCACACAGGAAATCAAGAATGCTAAGCAACAGGTAGAGCAAGAGCAGACACAAACGAACGTGGAAATGACTCTATTATCGCAAGATGACGGTGACGTGAACAGAGAGGACGCGCCGGTGACCTAAAAATTCGTTTCATTTTATTGATAAGCAAGATTACCCAACATTTAGTCTTAACTTACCGTTTTTGAGACGGTGGTTATTGGAAAAGAAACAAAACAAATAAACAAACAAACATAACTCTGCCATTTTGTTCATATATTTAGAAAGATAGCTACACTCTTATGGAGGAAATAAACAAAGCTGATAACCTTTCTTTACATTACACCTCTGTAGTTTCTGCATATTTTTAAAGCAAAGCGAGCCTCTGCATAACAACTTTCAAAGGCCACAGCCGTCTATTACTTAATATTCGATCAGGAGCCATAATCGGGGTAGGAGATCGTAACTGGATACCTTCTCCAGTAATGCGGTTTGTTCCATCGAAATAGCCAAATGTGCACATTTTTCGCGGGGCACCGCGCAAAGGAGAAACCAACAAAATGGCGTCAGAAATTACCTTTCGTAGGAAATGAATAAATTCTATTTCTGTCCTCTCCCCCTACTCTTAATTTGAGGCAAGACCTCGAGGATAACGTCTTTGACAACAACTTTGAATAAAAGGACTGTAAATGTAATTCTGATCATGTTAATCACCGTAGTTGGAGTGTTTTTGACAAATCTTGTTACTAAGAGATGTCGGAGATGTTGTGCGATGAGCATCCCGTTCGGACGAAACAAAAAAAACTTGCAGGGAAAAGGAGGGCGGAAAGTTGACAACAACAACAAATAATTGTGTCTAATTTTCCTCAAATGTTTGTTTGAATTCATGAAAAATACAGCTCCACCAGCTTCAAACAGCGTCTAATGTAATAATTTTCCCATTTAACTTGGCAGCTAGCGTGGCTCAGTGATCTAGGCCGTGCAGATGGTCCAGGTTCGACTGGTCTCCTACTCCCATGGCTCCTGTAGTGATAAACAGATATACTATTTTCCAATTCTTTTTACGTCTTCGTTATTCAGCCGTGCAATTTATTGACTACAAAATAATCTACTGATGTTTATAAGCAAACATTTTTTCTCAATTTTCATGTCCATTTGACCCATCTCAGACTACAAAACAGTCGTCAAAGGCACGAACTCGCGGCGTAAGATTCTCTCGAGAAGCGAGCCTCACACGGCTGAGAGGCGTCCATTCAGACCTTTCGTTTAGCCGCACCCCGCGTTTCCCTGATCTACACAAAAATACGGGTTGTTTTCCATTCTAGACCCTTCTTGATATGTTTTACACTATTTGTGCATTTAGGATAAGGGACTGAAAGAGTCCACAAAAGAACAGTTGAACATGACAAACAACCCACCCGTTGAAAGTCAGCACACTGTCTCGAAGCCGCCTTCAAGTGAAAGTCTCGAGGAGGATCCACATGACGAGGAGGAAAGCTTTTCTACTCAACAGCTCTTTAAATTTTCATGGCAAATAGCGAGGGGAATGGTAGCTACTGTATTTGTTTACATTTTATCATATCCAACTTAAAAATGGACACTGATTTCAAAGGCGAACTGCATGGGGCAAATTGAGAAAGTACAATTTCTTTACCGAAATCTACCTACCATTAAGAAAAGTACCAGGATTTCCGACAAAACCACTTTTGAGCGCAAAACAGCCAAATCCGGCCATAAAATGCCGTAAAATTAAATCGGGTGAAAAAATCGGCAAAAGACGAGTTTTAGGAAATGAGTTTTTCCTGGAGTCTTGGTATCTTGAAAGCAATCGCACGATCTGCCAACACTCTGTTTTACGCCCATTTCGGTTCCTTGAGCTCTTGGTTTTCTTCCAGAATAGCCTACCCTCTTTCCACATTTTTACACATTCACATATATTCCCTTGATGTACCCTCGTGGCATGAAGCCGACTTAATTCGAAAACCTCGATCGAAAATAAAGACATGATTCAAGTACCTAAGCGTGACTTTTAAAACACTGAAAATACTAGTGGACCAGAAACCGCGATTGTACGATGGACAACAACTTAAGAGGACTGAGAAACAACTCAACCATCGTCATACAAAACATTATGGGAAAATTGCAGATCAGACGTCAGACTTTTCGTGTTAAAAGTTATTGGCGCATTAAAGTTATTGGCGCACTAACTGCTGCTGTCGTGCCGAATAATGTTGTCCAATAACGCTTAAATGTACGGTATATCGATTTTTAAGGATAATGACCCAAAAACCAAGAAGTGAGTTGAAAAATTAGGATCTCAGGATTAGTTCTATGACAGACTTTAAAGTGTTTGGATACAACACCAGTTTAGTTTTCTTCAGCTGCCTGTACTCAACTGTACTAAATAACTAAAATGTGATTGATTCTGTGATAAAAGTTTGTATAGTCACGATCTCTGGATGACCATTTCTCATCCAGCTACAGTCCTTGCCTCTCAATTTCCCTTCAGTTACCGCTGAATGGCATGGGTTGTTATTTGCAGTACGTCCAGATAGGCCTTATTAGGCTGATTTAGCAACAGAACAGGAACGTCTGTTGACAACTGCGCGGGCAAATCAAACAACTGGATTGACCAATGGCAGAGCGACAAATTGGGTACCGGAAGTCGAGTTTAGTCCTTTCCGCGCGCTTACCCGTCGTCAAATGAGGTTCCCGTTCCTTTGCTAAATCAGCTTATTATTGCGCCAGGGCCCATGCGTTTCGGGTCAAGCGGTCCGAAAGAGTTTTTCTCGGATACGTCACCGAAATGTTTTGCGTGACCAAGATAGGACTGGAAAGACACGGTTCAGGGATTAGGCAAATGTTGTATTTTCTAAATAAAAACATGACCACCGGGGAGCTTATTTGAAAGAATCTGACTCGTCCCCAGTCGTCTCTCTCTCTTTCTCCTTAGTGGCGCGATGGGTGAGATTGGAAGGGGGAAAGCGAGTGAGAGAGTCTTCCTCCCTTTTCCCTTCCCATCACCCCCTGCTTTCGACGCGCGCGTTAGGCAAAGACGACTGGGGACGAGTCAGTGAAAGAATTACAAATCGGTTTGTTTTTAATTGTCTACGACAGATATCAGTTGATGACAGACTGCTGGAAGGAAGAACCAAAAGCTCGACCCAGTTTCTACCAGCTGATAGAAAAACTGGAGATCATCATGCAGAAGGATGCACCATATTTGGATGTCAACAAGCATAATGAAGCTCATCCATATTATAACGTGCCTCCACATCTGGAGTAACTGCTAATAAAGAACGCTACGTAGGGCCGGCGGTTTCTAATTAACCTCAACATTTTATTAACTCGTCAACGGAGATTCCCTTTTTAAAATGGCCCCCTGATTAAACTTAACCGTACAGTAAATGGCGAAATTAAGCAATTTATGAGCTAAGAGTTTGCGCAACAAAAAAAATTAATGCAAAGTATTATGTGAAAATTTCAACGTTTACAGTTCTGATCTTATGGCGATGATTATACATCATGTATGCGTATGAGTTCTAGTTGCATTAGGTATTCAAAATGTGATACTATAGAAGGAACAGAAATTTAACATAGGAAGCTCCCTCGGAAAAATTGCCGATCTCCATATGAGAGTCGAACGCACGACCCTCCGAGTTCTAGATCGGATGCTCTAGGTACTGGGTTCTGGAGGTGCTACGGTGTTACGTGCTTGCAACGCAGGCCTATCTTGTGGGCCGGCCAAAGCTGTTTATTTATGTTCATATTACCGTGGACAACTGAGGAAAATTGGAGAGAATAGTAACAGCAACACTTGTCGTTTCCCTTGGAGTAGACGGTAGGGCAAAGGAAAGAGGCGGGGGATGGGGAGGGGAGAAGTCCTCCCTTTACCAGGGAGGGTTTCTTTCGTTTGAAGTCAATCCGGATTATTAGCCCGCGTAGCTGTTGGTTCCTTTCCAAAGTGCACGGAGCGTGCGAATTAGGCATAGACGGGTAGATTGCATTGATTGATAGATTGGATTTTCTCATAACAGACAAATCCAAAATCAGATTTCCTTTCCAAAATTTTTTCTTGGATCAGCTCTAAAAAGCAAAAGCCACAGGAAAAATATTAATTTTTAGCAGTTTCCAAGTGCCAGATAGTTTAAATGATTCTAAGAATTTGTCATTTTGTGCTATGTGATGCTAAGGGGTGCAAAAAAATAAAGTAAGCTGACAGTTGCTGAATCGTATTTCAGCGGAGCTCTCGCGCGCGAAGTGAGCGCAGCGGAGCACCATGGGTAACAAAATTTGGTAAACTATCCTTCCGAGAAAATTTGGTTATGACGTAGAGTGCGCCCTCCCACCCGTACACACACTTCATGTAAGCCATGTCAAATGTCACAATAGATCTTGCACAACTTGACACTAGCCTGTCAGTTATGTTACCCATCCGTATGAGTATGATTAGATTGACAGCTGTCAAAATCAGACATCCGCTGACAATTATCACATGTCCATCTCGCGGGCCCAGATGAAAGACTAGTCGTTTTGCCCTACATATAAGCTGATGTAGTATGTCAGACCTACCGATTCAACATAAAAACGAAACTGCGCCAGGCAGGGCTGTCAGTCGGCGGGCATTAGTTTTAAGTTACATGCGCGAGCCAAATTAAGGTCAATTGAAAGCTGTCAAAATGGGACATGAGCAGACCACTATCAGAAAACTCGATATGGCATTTCGCCCCCACTACAAGCTTGACTGAAATGTCTTACTCACATTCGAAGTCGACAGTCCGTTAATTCGAGTATTCGCCATTCTAATGAGGGTTAATTGACAGCTGTCAAACAAGACCATCCGCTGACCATCATCACCTGACTGTATCGTGGGGTCATTTTTCTACCCGTAGAGGTCACGTGTTTTTTAAAGTTTTCCGCTGATATTTTATTTGATCACAGGTTCAATTCTGTATTTTCAGCTGAGCCCCATAGCTTAGAAAACCTATCTGGCAATCACGTGACCGTACACCGACCACCCGACCTTCCGTCCGTCCGTCCGCACCACAGGCATACCAACGTTTAATTTCACACTTTCTGGCTAGTTTGGGAGCCTGCAACCTGATATTGTACATCCATGTTTTGATCAGCTTTTGACAGCTGTCAAAACAATGTATCCGCTGACCAGTATCGCCTGACCGTATCGCGGGCTCAGGTATCGACCCACTAAGTTAGAGTTTTTTATGAAGTTATCCGCTGACAATTTGCTACTTTTCAAATGATCGCAGGCTCAAGTTCAAGTTTTTTAATGCATATGAAATAAGTCGTGTTCATAAGCCGCACTTTAAATATTTTGATTTCAAACTGACCTCGGACGCAAAAATTCAACCGGCTTTTACATGCTTGACTTTTCTCACCATAGTCACGCGTTGGTCACACTCCAAGTCCAATTTCTATGCTCCGATTGGTCAAAATTTGACAGGTGAGTTCATGCGAAAAATTTATGCAGCATCTGGAAACTTGTTTACTGATAGCTGAAGCTGACAGAGTTTTGTGTCATCTTGGGATTTTTTAACTGTCTTTTTCTACTGGATGCACAAAATGAAATACAGCTGCTATCAAGATTCTTCTGTAATTCATGGCTGGTTTGTTTATTGCGCTTTTGGTTGAGAAATGCACCGCTTGTCAAAGTCACTGGAAATCCGATTTCGGATGGCATCGTTTTCAAAAATGAGCTTACTCACTTGCCCTTGTTTGAGGCGTAAGAGGGTTGAAAAGTATCAAGCGATTCTGTCCTCACTTGATGGCCCTCAGGAGCTGCATCTCGACTCAGCTGTCGACTGGTAAGCCTGAGCAATTATTGTCTTTGATGTTTTTTTTTTTTTCCGGTTTCTAGATAGCTTTATTAAGAAGTAAAATCAATGCAGTCCCCGGGCCGAATGAAATGTGACTTACTTTACAATGGAACTAAAAATCATCTATAAATATATCATAACTACTATAAAAACCGTAAAATATAGCCTACAATAAAATACAAAAGAAGTATCAACACCAGAATACCAATAATTAAGATATTAAGATTACTACTGATAATAAAAACTGTTCGCCATAATAAAAGTGTTTTTAAACCTAGTTGCCTTACAAATCGGTAGTTTGAATTATCTCTGGCTACCACTGTGTGAAATGAGTTGTGTCATGGTCCCGATATTAGTCGATACGAACCCGTATTCTTGAGAAAAACGGAAGTATGGAGAGGTATCGGGTTCCGGACACGCAGCATATACGTTGAGTATCAGGACCCGTATTACCCGTAGAACTTTTTCCGCGGCATGGAATATCCGATATCCGGACACTTCATTGAAACGCGGCGTGTCAAGACCTGTAAACGTCCTTATTTTTCTAGATTTGCCGAGAATCATGGAGTGCCGTTGATGAACGCTACAATTTTTGCCTTTCATTTTCACTAAAATTCCACGCTACGGATTGTGTTATCCTAACTTATACTCCAAACGTTCACGACACGTGAAGATTCTATTCCGTAGAATGCGATGAAATTCCACGATACATGAAGTTTCGAGTGTTTTCACTTCCCCGAAATTCCATGGTACGTGAGATATCAGGGACTCAAACACCACTGGAATTCCACGGTTCATGAAATTACCGACGTTGAAATCGAGGCAAAACTCCCTGATACGCGAAAATTGCAACACGTTTATAGTACTAAATTTGACGATACTTTCAATTTCCATGCACGATATTGAAAATAGTGATACCGCCTTTTCACTCCATTGATACCTCACGATATGTTTCCTGGTCAGCATTGCACTTCATTGCATTTCAGGGACTTATTTGTGGGATTGCAGTATTACACTGAAAATGATTTTTAACAGTTCCGACCATTCTACCATTTTTATCACCGCCCCAGTCTTATTCACTTTAACTAACTGCCCAACGCATGAGGGAAAAACACAGGTTTTAAATCGCGTAACATCATCTATTTTAAAGTTCAAATACAGGAACAAAGTTTGATAATTCTGACAGGAAAACGTGCAAAGTTGTGTCAGTTGATAAACCTAACTCTAAAAAGTGTTCGGACATGCTGACAATTCATTCAAAGAAATATACAAGGTACAGTTGCAAGGTTGATAGGAATATTCAGAATGAATGATTTCAAAACATTTCAATTTTTTCTAATAAAAAGTTTTGCAAAAAATAAAACAGAATTCAAAGTGAAGATATTAAATTTAATCAAACAATGGCAACAACTAGATAGTAATCCATCCATTCTCCATCCTATGTTCATCATCACTGTCACTCCTTAAAGTAAAGGAGAATGTGGGGAGGGAGGCTGCAGTGGAGGAGGATGTACTGGTGTGACAACTAGCTCCACTGCTAATCAACGACAATGGCCATGCATGTGAACTAAAGGGTGGTTGGCTTGTAGGTGGATCTCCTTAAACTCTGGGGTTTCGAAGAATTAACCAAGGAGCTGGCATCTAGCTGCTGCAGGGTCTCCTCAACCATCTGTTCGCACCTTCATCTGTTTTACTAAAATCTGCAAAGCACAGTCATTGAAAAAAGTGAGCAATAACCACAAATTAGTGCCCAAAATAGTGGTTAAGGTAGCTTGTTTTTGTACATGTGTATGAACCTCTTTACTACCCATGCTTATAATAACATCCTCAACCACAACAATAATAATGATAATAATAATGTGATGTTAAGGATAATAACACTTTCAAATTTCTTTCGGATTTCTGTATATAAACAGAAATGAAACTGGATCACAATCGCCTTGACATCGTGTGTGGACCAACAGAACAAAAATTGCCTCATCACTAATATTGCATGTCCTTGTGACAAAAGGGTGGACATCGAACAAGAGATCAACAACAAGTATAGTCAACAAAACAAGACTTAGTATCTTCATCTGGCATGAAGATACTACTTGTGGAAGATGAAGGTGTAAAAGTTGCCCCTTTTGTTTTGGAGCACTGGGTACTATTCTGAAGACCTGGAGGTTTAACTGAAAAAACATAAATAATTCTGGGATTGAGTTGGCACTGCACTTCAAAGAACAGTCTTGCTGAGATCAGCAAGAATCCTCCAAAGTGTCTTTGAAGTTTAAGGTAGCTTGTTGCCACCCAAAAAATTCAACGGGTTTGAAATTTCTGGCATTGACATACCTGCTGTGAAGCATGCACAAAAATAAATTGGGAATTGAAGGAAAAAGACAGGTGATTGTCCTCAATAACATTATTATTATCAACAGCCGAACAAAATAAGGGTACTAATAGACCTTTTTACCGATACGGTGGCCATATTGAATTAATTCAATTTAAGGAGTGTTATAGGATGCCCAGGGGACATGAGCACATTTCGCTTGTATTTTGCACTTTTCGGGACATTTTTTTCTTAAAGTTTTCTTAGAATAAGATTCTAGTGGGAAAAAAGATCCTTGTGCCGTGTTTGGATGTAATCATGATCACCTTTTTCAAAAGAAATATACGGTGAAAGACCATATTTCTAATGCTAAACTAGAAAAAGGCGATCATTATTACATCCAAACAGGGCACAAGGATCTTTTTTCCCATTACAATCTTATTCTAAGAAAACTTTGCGAAAAAATGTCCCGAAAAGCACTCCAAAATACAAACTAAATGTGCTCATGCCCCCTGGCCATCCTATAATACTCCTTAAATCGAATTAATTCAATATGGCTGCTGTATCGGTAAAAAGGTCTATTAAAAGCAGTTTACATATGCACTGTAGATAAACTATCTCCAGATCATACGTGCAGCTATTTCATACATTATTTTTTTAAAAGGTTAATTTGCACAGTAGTTCAAAATAATATTGTCTATCTTAAATGCACAAAACATTTTAACTAAAGGTAATTTGGACAAAACCTGGAGCTGAGATACAGTGTTTTTGAAAAAGCAAAACCGAATTAATGAAGGGTGAAATGAAATGTAATGCTGTATTGGTATGAAATAGATTCTCAATAATTGCAAATCTATTTTGTCAAAGCAGTTTTTATAAAACAGCTTGTGTGTTTATAAATCAAGCACTACACCTACTGGAAAAAGTGACTGCATGTACCGCTACAATGAAGAGGTCCCATAACAAAATACCATATTTATTTGATTAAGTGCCTTGCCTGGGTGCTCACTAAAGTTTTGCACCTTGAGAGTGGGCTATTATTCAAGTTGGTCACTTTAATACGTGTATTTGGGCTGGCTGTTTAATGAATTCTCACAGTTTTCACCAAAAGTAATTTTGTTGGAGATAGAGTAATTTTGTTTGAGTTCCAAAGCAGATTTTTAACTGTTCATTGAAAGTTTCTTTAAAATACTGTACTAAGAAAACTTGGTCTCTTAATTTAGTAGAACTTAGTCTTCTTCAATCTAGCTGGTATGGGGTAGGCACTTATTCAAGGTTAGGAGATAATTCATTTTTTTTCTGCATATAAGGTGGAGGGTTATTGGAGGTGGGCAGTTACTTGAGGTTGAGCACTTTATCAAATAAATAATAAGGTATTCTATTTTCTTTTCAGCATTTGTTGTTACATGTAATTACAAATTTTCAGTAACATTGACTTTTCTTCTATTTTCTGGTACAAACGCCTCAACCCCAGTGTTACTAACCTGCACAATATTGCATAGTGCTCCTAAGATGTTTGCCTAGTACTGAAAGGAAAATCAGGAATCAATGAAGTTCACTTAATTACTTTTAACTGTCACTGCTGCCTTAATTGCCCACTGAAATGTAAGATACTGAGTATTTACAAATTAATGTATATACAGGGGCTGTGCCACCACAGTCTTAGTTCACTTTGTTAATATCAAACAATAAATGGTGTGGGATGAGGTTTTGTGATATCCAGAAATAATCAAGGGAGAGGATTGACTAAATGACATCAGCTGAGCTGAAGGCCGAGGCTGATAACACTTACTGAGACCTTGATTATTCCAAATATCACAAAAACCAATTCTACTAGTTGTTTCATTATGCATTGTTTTCAAGAAAACAAGGACAAACACAGAATTGCATGGAACACAGTTTGACATTCCTCTTAGAAATCATACTTGGTGCACACCAAGGGGTAGAAGCAAAGTCAGGCTTATGGCGTGCGATCCCTGCCAAAATTCATGGTTTCAATTTTAAATGCATCATTTAAATCTCTAACCTCGGTACTTGAATTTTATAGCTGAATTCAAAATTTTACACTCTTCCTTTAGAAGAAAACGTTTTTATGCTCGCGTCCCTTAGCTTTTAAACTCAACTCTTCTATTTGACCTTGCTCGCTGTGTATTTTCAACTCGCTTCCTCAAATTACATAGTAGAACCATGCAATTTTCAACTCGGCGCTATGAATAAAACTATACACCAGACAAATTTTCCAATATTGCTACTTTTTATAAGCTTGAATGCCTGAACGAATACTCACGGCATTTTGCCACTTACCAAGTCAAATTTCAAACTCAACCATGTGTATTTTCAACACGACTTGTGAACTTTCGTTCACCCTTCAGTGATCATTGATCAAGACCAGGGAGCCTCCCTGTGTCAAGACAATAGAAGCCTTTGTCGGGTGGGTGGCTCTTTAGTCCATCGTGCTTAGTGCATATTGCACAAACATGGCGGCAGAGTTTGCACTTGCTTAGATTCCTATCAGTAACCGCCGCCTGGTTAGCTCAGTTGGGAGAGCGCCGGTCTACTGAGCGGGAGGTCGCGGGTTCAAACCCCGAACGGACCAACACTCAGGGTCTTTAAATAACTGAGGAGAAAGTGCTGCCTTTGTAATAATATCTGCAAACGGCTAGACTTTCTAGTCTTCTCGGATAAGGACGATAAACCGTAGGCCCCGTCTCACAAGCCCTTGCACATGTATTAAATCTGTGGGACGTTAAAGAACCCACACACTCTTCGTAAAGAGTAGGGCACGTAGTGCCCGGTGTAGTGGTCTATCTCACTTTCACACTCATGTATGGGGGCATCATTACTCATTCCTTCATTACTTGTAAACTGCACCTTAAGCAGTCTGGCAAAGTCCCCCAACCAGTGTTGTAAATTATCCCTGAAAAGCCCTGAGGGGAGTGGATAATAAGATATTTACAATTTACAATTTATGGTGACAGGGTGCAAAGAAAGTCATTTTTACAGCTGAAACTAACATTTACGAGCCCAAACATCATTTCAACTAACCCCAAAAATGTTTTGATGAGCAGATTGATTTGACAGTACTTCTGTAATTTGAATTCCCCAAAAGCTTCACTTGTCCATCGGGCAAGTTAATAACAGAACTCACCAGCCTGATAGCAAAATCCACTAGCCCTGGGCTATCGGACACTAATTTCTTTGCATGCTGGGTGATTATGGCAGATTCATGCATTGAGTGGGGTATTCAAATCGCACTACTGTAAATAGTGGGATTTACCTGATTCTGTCGTGGCTGGCATGGGATTCGCCATAGCATGTTTATCGAGCGCACAGCAATAAAAGGGGTTGGTTGGTAGGCCTATTAAAACGACTTTTACCTCCTACCAAAATGTTGCTCGTTCCAATAAGTTTTTTTCCTCTGCTGGGTAGATTATGCTCTGGAAGGTTCTACAATTTCACTGAACAAATGTGATTTTTGCCACTTGTTTCACACTGAGAGGTCGTGGAACACATATTGATTTACTGTGGTTTTTGTTTCTGGTCGGCAAGATTTGTCCTCTGACGCAAGAGCATTTTCTTTGACCTCTTTTAAAGCATAAAGCTTTTTATTACGGCTGAATAAGGGTTCTAATTTTCTCTAAAGTGCCCTCTGGATTTCAATATTTTAAGTGATTTTCTCTAGTCCTTTAATGTAATGTTTTTCTGCAATGTTGTATCATTCTGGGCCTAACTCGTTTAGTAGTTTTCTTTGCAGGATATTAAATTATCACAGATAGCGACTTACAGATCCAAAATTATAAGAATGAGGTGCATCAACTATAGATAATTGCATTGTGACTTAGTAGACTTTAGCTTATTGTTTTTCTAAAGATAATATGAGTCTTTGACTGGAGTGTGCATTTCTTCCCTTAATAGTAATACCTTCTGAATGAGCTTAACTGTCTTTGGACTGTTTTTTATGGCCACTGTCTTTGTGATCAGGCAATCAGAGATTCTAATCAAATCAAACAATCAAAAATTTCATTACAGATCACTTGAAATGAACACTACACATGTGAGAAGGCGCAGGCAGACACTTGCGCTTAAAGCACAATGGACTAAAGAACCACCCACTCCGACAAAGGCTTCTATGGTGGGGGAGGGGGGGGCGGCGGGGGGCTCCCTGGTCTTGATCAATGATCACTGTAGTGTAAACAAAAATTCATAAGTTTTGTTGAAAATATACATGGTCGAGTTTGAAATGTGACTCGGTAAGTGGAAAAATGCACCAAGTATTGGCTCAGGCATTCAAGCTTATAAAAAGTAGCAATGTAGGAAAATTTGTCCAGTATATGTATAGTTTTATTCACAGTGTTGAGTTGAAAATTGTATACTTCTACTATGTAACTGTAATTTGATGAAGCGAGTTGAAAATACACAGCGAGCAAGGTCAAATAGAAGAGTTGGGTTTAAAAGCTAATGTTGAATTTAAAATTCAAACCATAAATTTTCATGGGGATCGTACACTATACGGACTGAAAAACACTTTCACAACTTGCAAAGCAGTCACCTTGTGTGGTAGTTCAGAGGTGAAAAGCGAACCAGAAAAAAGAGAATAATATTCAATAACTGCAAAAATGTATCTCATGCCCTTTTTGTTTTTCTCACATATCGTATTTGTCCTTGCAAAATCGAAGCAACACTACCTGTATTACTGTGTAAACTCTTAACCAACAACAATGCGTGCTTAACTATCGATCGTATTGATCAACTTTATAGATACATTTATTTTTCCGGGTGAAGAGAATACTATTATAATAGTAGTTGTGAGATAACAATTACTTGAGAAAGTGCCAGATTTATCAGAATTAAATCTATTCAAGAGAGGTTTATAATATGAACTCTTCAAAAGGTGACAATGGTTTTGAAAACGTTTTAAAATGACATTGTAGAAAACCTTTTTTGCAGTTGTGTTGTGTTAGAATTTGATGATAGTTGTTACCTACATGTAGATGCGAAACAATATTGCTTAGCCTCGTTTTCAACTCGCAATTCCACACTAAATACCTCGCTTCGTTAACCAATCAGAATGCGAGATTTTACTCAGTTATGCGATTCTCAGTAGAACCTAGTGTAAGTGAAGAAATATTCAGGACGTAACTAATCGATAGAAATCGATCATCGAAAATGTAATCGATTAATCGATAATACTCGATAGTACTCGATATTTGTCGATTGATTAGTCAATTTAATCGATTGAAATCGATAATCACAAATTTTTTGTCGCATCTATGGAAATCGAAAATCAAAAACGTGATCTGATCTTATCATAACACTGCGTAACACTTACCTTCAAGCTTACCTTCGAATCCGCTTTGTCGATACAGATGATGTTACTTCTTTCTCCAATGGTAGCTACTTTTCTTATTTATTTTTTTTAACAGGATCACTGCTGTGAATTGGTACTCTAGAATCGTCAGAATCGTGGTAAATAGCCGGAGTCACTAATGTAGAAATTGGCAAACTGTCGTCCGTTCTCCGAGAATTTAGAAGGGTATTGTTCGAGCGCTTATTGGGAGACACGCATGGTGGCTTACGGAGCGCGGAGAATCTTCGTCCGTTTTCTTTTCGATCATTGTCGAACAAATCGATAAAATCGATAGCTTATTACAGAAATCGATCAAAATCGAAAATCACAAAGACGCGAGTGATCGATTTCTATCGATTTCCGATATTATTCGATTGATTAATATCGATTACGATCGATTACGTTCGATTTCTATCGAGTATCGAAAATATCGATTAGTTGCGTCCTGAAATATTACTTGAAAATAACAACATCACTGTTTCATGTAAACAAATTTGTCCCGAAGCATTACATTTTCATCAAAGTTACAGGCAAAAAGAATGAACTTTAGGCCAACAAGTTTTCAAAAAGCTCTATTCTTGGCTTGGAACCACGTGACAAGGCGGTCATATTGGTGGTGTGTTGGAGGTCATTACAATAGAACGTTTTTTTCTGAAGAATTGACATGAAAATAGGGTTTAGTTCCCGGAGGAGAGAAATGCTTTTGTTCTTAACCCTAAGACACTACCAATATGGCTGCTGTGACATCAAGTGCAAACCAGCAATTGTAATCCATTTTAATCTTCTTCAAGTTTGTCTATCTGAGCCTCCTTTTGCGTTTGCTGTCTTGTTTATACCTTATTCAACTGCTGTGAGTAGTTACTTTTATGTTTCAGTCAATATGGTGGCGGTTTCATCTGTTTAAATTTTGATAAATTTCGTGCCACAGCTCCTTTACAAAACATTGATTTCATGAAAACTTAAAATGATTTAAATAGTTTGAAAACAGGGCAGCTTACCTTTTCTTGCTATCTAATTTTCCAGCAAAATCCTGAGTCTTGGAGCGCTTTAGTAGTACAGTCCTTAGTATACTTCGGTGTTCAAATTCTCAGTCTGCTTGACTGAGTCTCCTGTATCGAAAGGGTTGCCTATCGACAACTGAAGGTTGAACGTTCGATGATAATGTGTTACAATCCTCAGATGTCCTGTGATGCTATCGAGAAGCATAATTATGGATTCAAACTTCGAGGGAAATCAAACAAGTTGGCGTGATCGAAACGATCGATTTCACACTTTCAAAATGGACGCCAAATCGGAACCTGAAAGAGCATGTGGAGAGGTAGGTACTTTAAGTAGGGTTATTAAAGTGTATCAAGAATGCATTTAAAATAATGTATCGACATGTATACCCATGTAATGTCATGTATAGCCATGTATTTTAATGTATCAACATGTATTGCCATGTATTACCATGTGTTATTATGTATCACCATGTATTACCATGTATAGCCATGCATAGCCATGTATAGCCATGTAATACCATGTATCACCATGTATTACCATGTATAGCCATGTATAGCCATGTATAGCCATGTAATGTCATGTATAGCCATGTATAGCCATGTATTACCATGTATCACCATGTATTATCATGTATAGCCATGTACAGCAATGTATTACCATGTACAGCCATGTATTACCATGTATAGCCATGTATAGCCATGTATTACCATGTATCACCATGTATTGCCATGTATTACCATGTATCACCATGTATTACCATGTATAGCCATGTATAGCCATGTATTACCATGTATCACCATGTATTACCATGTATAGCCATGTATAGCCATGTATAGCCATGTAATGTCATGTATAGCTATGTATTACCATGTATCACCATGTATTACCATGTATAGCCATGTATAGCCACATATTACCATGTACAGCCATGTATTACCATGTATAGCCATGTATAGCCATGTATTACCAGGTACAGCCATGCACTACCATGTATTGTCATAATATTACCATGTATAGCCATGTATAGCCATGTATTATCACGTATCACCATGTATTGCCATGTATTACCATGTATTATTAAGTATCACCATGTATTGCCATGTATTACCATGTATTACCATGTATAGCCATGTATTACCATGTACAGTCATGTTCTACCATGTATTACCATGTATAGCCATGTATAGCCATGTATTACCATGTACAGCCATGTAATGTCATGTATAGCCATGTATTACCATGTATTACCATGTATACCCATGTATGCCCATGTACTGCCATGTATAGCCATGTATAGCCATGTATACCCATGTAATACCATGTATTGCCATGTATAGCCATGTATAGCCATGTATAGCCATGTATAGCCATGTATTACCATGTAATGCCATGCATAGCCATGTATAGCCATGTATTACCATGTACAGCGATATACTACCATCTATTGCCATGTATTACCAGGTATAGCCATGTATAGCCATGTATTACCATGTATCACCAGGTATAGTCATGTATTACCATGTTTAACCATGTTTTGCGATGTATTGCCATGTATAGGCATGTATACCCATGTAATACCATGTATTACCATGTATACCCATGTATACCCATGTACTGCCATGTATAGCCATGTATACCCATGTATACCTATGTAATGCCATGTATTGCCATGTATAGCAATGTATACTCATGTATTACCAGGTAATGCCATGTATAGCCATGTATAGCCATGTATTACCATGTACAGCAATGTACTACCACGTATTGCCATGTATTACCATGTATAGCCATTTATAGCCATGTATTACCATGTATCACCATATATTGCCATGTATTACGATGTATTGTTATGTATCACCATGTATTGCCATGTATCACCATGTATCGCCATGTTTTTACCATGTATAGCCACGTATTGTCATGTATAGCCATGTATTACCATGTACTGCCATGTATAGCCATGTATTGCCATGTAAAGCCATGTACTGCCATTTATTGCCATGTATTACCATAGATTACCATGTATTGCCATGTATCGCCAGGTATTACTTTGTGCTGCCAGGTATCGCCATGTACTACCATGTTTTGTCATGTATTACCATGTTTTGCGATGTATTGCCATGTAATGAAGAGTGCATAGACCAAGAGGGTCCGGAAAACTGCTGTGGATCAACGAGCATTGGATATGTACTCCATTCTGATGTTGTCTTGTTCAAAGGTAATTTTGGGACGATATTTAGATAATTCAAACAATATAGTCTAAAGCGGTTTTAATGATATTTCCTGTCAAGGAGCACCAAACCAGATACAGAAGACAAGTTGTTCAAATGGTTTTGACTAGCCTGCGAATACAGATGTCCTTCTTTGCTCCTCGCCGCTAGGGACGTCTCGAAACACCCCTAGCGGCGAGAAGCAAGGAAACACCTGTGTTCACAGGTTGAGGTTTTGACGAGTGAAAGTGTAAAATTTAATGTCAAGTTCAATATAAAGTTTTGACCTTTATTGGAAAAAACGAGCGAAAGAAAGATTGTATCTCTAGTTGTAATTAATTTTTTGGGGCGAGACGTACAGGGTATTGTACTTTTCCATCATCTTAAAAGCGTCCTTTTCTAGTCTAGCTGGATCGCGATGTATTTCAACACTATCTAATAGCTCTTAAGTCAACCTTGTCAAGACATACCTTTAAAGTAAATTGACGCTAATTTGTCTTCATTGCCATGGTAATAAATATTCTAAACAATCGGAAAGTGCTAATAATCGGATGCGCTCGTTCACAACTCTCCCTATATCGCCGAATTTACACAAGTGAGCCTGCTCACTGGGTAGCTGTTAAGCAAAACTTCGATTTCTGATTAACCGCAACGATTCGTGGTTTAACGCCTTGCACGTGTTACTTGAATAATGTACATTTTCTTTGTCAGATTCTTCAAAAAATCAAATTGGAAGAGGAAATGACAACTGTGTGGCAGTGCCTCAAGAATGTGGTACTGCCGGGAGATTCTTCTACGAGGGATAAGTCTACATCGAGAACGAAGACCAAAGGTGCTGGCGGGTCCGTTGCCAAAACAGAAGAAGTGGGGCTTGCTATCAAAGAAGCCATAAAGCAAATGGCGTCCCGAGGAGAAGTACGAAAGGTAATAGGGACGCTTAAAGCTTGTCAATTACTGTCAAATATTTTTAATAAAGGGATTGCTCTTTTCCTTAAGTTAAGATGTTTTTTTTTTATTCTTAGTAAGTTGATAAGGGAGTTCGGAGTCGAAACTCTTGGTGGTAGAAAAACACGTAACGGTAATTGTAGTAATTCAACATATTTGACCATCATTACAATGCATAGGCAATTTCATTTTTTAGCAAGCCAGTTCTAGTGAAAGACTTAACTTAAACAAAAAAGGGCTCAGTGAAAAAAAAGAGCAACGTTATTGGCTGTGAGAGAAAAGTTTTTTCCATTGTGTAAATTACAATTATAAACATATGTTCACCAGTCACAAAAACGGTAAAGAAGATATAGACGTGGGCGACTGATATTTTATTCCCTGTATTTAATTAATTTCAGTTATGTGGAACGTTCATCATACCGAAGATAAAGCCGTCTGGTTGTTCTTGTGGAGAGTATAGCTGTTTCGTCCAACGACCTAGCAGCTTACATTGCCAAGAACCAGCCCCAAATGACTACAGTGACTGGTGCAGCCATTCGAAATTGCATATTCCATTCACTGAAAGGTTGCAATGGGAAACAGGCAACCTTCGCAAATGGGAAGAGGAACGCCTCCCATTTTTCAAGGTCTTTTTTTGAGGTTGACGTTCTTTCAAAGTTAGATGAAGGTAATAATCTTTGTTACACAACTGTAAAAGCAAATTTGAGCGAATAAAAAAGTGGGCAATCTGGCCACTTAATATGGGTCTAGCTGAAATTAATGTGTGCACTGTCTGAGGGGTTTCGATGTAGTGTACTATAACGGGAAGGAGATACTTCCTTCTGTACGGCCATATAGGTATGTGCCGCCCTGTGACGTTTTTTGCGCCTTTTTGGTCTGAAACTGGTACAGATTTTGCCCATTAATGTCCGGTATCGGCCGTACAAAATTCGGAAGAAACATAAATATATAGTTTGTAAAAAAAAAGGACATCTAACAAGTTTTTACTAATATTGATCCCCTAGACTGCAAAACAGTCCGTATTTTTGCCTATTCAAGTACGCGCGAGCGGTCAAACAAAAGGTCTCGAACAAGACTGAAAACAGAGAGCGAGACTGGGGAGAGACGCTAAAAATACGGACTGTCCGTTTTGCATACGCTATATTCGTTCGAATTACCCGCTTCTCCCAGCCACGGGCAATTCCCATTGGCTAAATTTTGATGCAAGCTGTCACCAAGCTGTCAAGTAATGTTTTCAACAAGTCATTCGCGATGTTCCCTACCGTGATGAATTGCTAAAGCTTTCGCTGTAAAATGACGGATGTTGATCGCCTGGATTTGCTCGCTAGAATTGATATTTGTTTTAAAATCGGAGCAGAGGAAAGTTTTGGAGTTGTTGCTCAGGGGAAAGGATGTTTTCTGTGTTCTACCAACAGGATTTGACAAAAGCCTTATTTATCATATGTTCGGCAAGTTCCATGCAACGGCCGATCGTCATTGTTATCTCGCCTGGCTAAAAAAGAGGGATCGGTAGGAAACACACGACTTTTACCTCATGCAAAAATGCTGCTTATTCCAATGAATAGTTTTCTCTGTCGAGTAGATTATGCTTTGGAGGAAAACGTTTTGACTGGGCAAATGTGAATTTTGGCCGCTTATTAAATATATTTCATACTGAGAGGTCGTGACACGTATATTGATTTTCTCCTAGTCGACATGATTTGCCCTCTGATGCAAGAGCATTTTCTTTCTTGGCCCCTTTAGAAATGTAAAGCTCTTCATTGCGGCTTAAGGGTTTTAGGTCGCTTTATTTCTTTAAAGTGCCTCCTGGATTTGAATAATTTTCGGCGATTTTCTTGTGTCCGTGAAAGTGACTTTTTCCTGCAATGTTTTGTCATGCTGGGCCCAGCTTGTTAGCGTTTTTTAGCAGGATTTTAAATTCTCACATAGCTAAATCACCAAGACGTGGATTGGAATGAGAGGGTTTACTCATTCTTTTCAATCGCAATAATTGTTCATTGTCAGTTGGCGTGTTCAGTTGTTCTCTAATTTGCGAAAGCATCGCCGTGCAGTTTTTCGGGGCAGTTTCTAACCTTTGTTCCGCACGGAGAGCAAACTCTTGTGGAGGGAGTTTAATGTCCACATATGCCCGCAAATACATCTTCGAGGCACCCGCGAAAGTGATCCGATCTTTGAGACACCCGCCGAAATCTCAGTCAAAGCCCCGCTAAGCGCTCTGAGGTCCCCGCGAGACACGCGAAGGGACACGAAACTTACCCTCTCCCCGACAAAAAAAAAATCACGCAATCTGTTTCAGGTCACACAAGTCTCTCCACTACCACCCCCAAGGGATATTTTTGAAAAAGAGAGTATGTGACAATTGTATACTTTGTGTGACATAAGGTTCTGTCAATCAATCAATAAGAGAACAAAAGAAAATGTCAATCATTATAATAACCAGAGCCGACTAAAAATACATGGATATTTTTGACATAACGACATAAAAAGAGTATGTGACAGTTTCTGTGACATAATGTCCTGTCAATCACAAAACGCAAAAGAAAATGTTAATAAAATATCCAGAGAAACTAAAAAAGGACTTAGGTGAGCGTAACGTAGGACGAGTACAGAAACAGAAGAAAATAGTGTTCCCGGCTGCCTGCCAGGGAATTTCATTATTTAATTTTTTCTTTAGGCCGCATTGAAAATAATTCACCGCGTGGGTTAAGTAAAAGTTAGTTAGGCTGTTTGAAATCGTGCCCATGAATGACGCGCCGCTAACAGCAGCAATGAACATGGCTGAAAACTAAGAGTGTAACCATTGACTTTTTTCCTTCTCCTTGCTCTTTCTTTTTCTCGCTTTCTTTCCCTTGGTTAGTAAAATTTTGGAGCTTCTGAGACTTAAAAAACATGCCTTTTGACGCTTTTTCCCTCAATTGCGTGCAAATTTCGTTAGGCTGGTTGAACTAACTTTACTTTTTATGAAGCTTAGCAATCACGCAAACTTATTCTATTGTTTCTTTTTGGCATTAAGCTAATGTGCTTAAAATATGCTCATATCACAAGTGAGCTTTAAAAGAGCGCTCTGTGAAGATTTTTTTTTTTAACTGGAGTGTTCTGTCTGCGAGTCCATATCCCATCATGTATTTCAAACAAGTACTAAAGCGAGAAACCTTTTTGGGAAGACGTCTTCCAATTGACAACTACTGGGACTGGTTAGATGATCATATTAAAGTAAAAATCTGGAAAATTAAGACGGAAATAGAGATACGAGATCTTCGCCCGCAACTTTTTGGGGAGATGATTAGGTATGTGAATGAAAAAGTTTACAAAAAGAAAATACAGTAAACTTGGATAGAATAAGAAGATTGCCAATTTGTAAAACAAGTGGAACTACGATTTTAAGTTTTGCTAAAAGATTTGTGCTTAAGTTAGGGAGTAAGTCAGTGTATGTTGTAAGGCTGACTATCTTTACGCCATTTGCGAAACGTTTATTTGTTGTTTCCTCAAAATATGTTCGA